AAGGCAGGGTACACGTTGCTCCATTACTCTTCTTGCCTTATTGTTTTGGCAGTGGCGTGGCACTTATTTCCAAATCCTTTTCAGTTTGTCCCTATAATCCTACCTACCAAGTCTTTCTTCTCTAAACACCTCATTCTCCCCCATTCCTCTAACCTCTCCTTCAAGATCCTCCTTATCTAACGGCCTTTCAAATCTCCCTACACATTTCTTGCCAAGATTTACCTTTTTTACTTATAATAATAATTGAGTCACTCAATCCACGAATGTTTGTGGGACACTGCTGTGCGCAATTGGCTGCCGCGTTTCTCCCACAAAATACAGTCAATTCACTTTGCAACATATTGTGTGAAGCACTTTAAGACGTCTCAACAATGCGTTAAGGCGCTATATCAAAGGCAAGGATTATTATTATTGTTAGTTGATATTTTGCCTTTCATGTTACAAGTGTCAGCCTTGACCATGACACCAAACCTTCCTCCTCCTCCTCTCAGCTTCTGCTCCAATCACTGCCTCATTATAGGTGATTTCAAGCTCCACTTCACCCCTACTTGTCCCAACTCCACTCTTCTCTTAGCCTCTACATATATTACCCACATCCACAGCCATCCCCTTGATCGTGTCATCACCCAAGGTCTGTCTACCGAGATCTCCCATCTCTGACAAGACTATCTCTGACCTTTCTTCATCTCCCTCATTTCCCATATCCTTCTTCCTGCTGCCAAGAGATCCACCATCTCCTCATTCCCTCTCAACAGCTCTAAAGTGTTCTGAACTCCTCCCCCTCAGGCTTTCCACTTGTATTAACCTCACATATTTATCGAGCTGCTCAATAACTCCCTCACCTCCACACTCAATTTTCCTGCTTCTATCTAATCTCAAACTGCTTCCCATCCACTCAATTGTCCCAGGTCCAATTGAGCATTCTGAGACGCCATCCAGAGTGAAGGGCACTTCATAAATGCAAGTTGTTGTTGTTGTTGTTGTTGGTCCAATTGTCACTTCTACTTGTTAAAATCCATCGTCCATGCATCACAGCGAATGTGGCTCAATTCTTGTCTTGTAGTCCGTTACTAGATCTGCTAGACTTCCATCGAAACCTACCATCTCTCCCTATCCTCAGGCAAATCTCTCTCTATTCCAAGAACATCTTGTGGAGCAAAAGTGAGCGAGCTAGTTTCTAAAATTGCCCAAACCCACTCCGTTGCCTCTGTTTTCTCTTCCTACCCCTGCTTCCCTACCTCCACATGCTTCACAGCTTTGCCCTTCTCATCACCCTATCCTCGCCCAACTCTCGGATGAAACCCTCATCCATTTCTTTGCCAACACAGGACTTTTGACTTATCTTAACTCCTTGCTGTTCTGGCTTCCTCGCTCTACCAACCATAAGCTTGAGATTATCCAGAACTCTGTCACCAGCATTCTCTCCTGCATGAAACTGCACAAGCTCATCACACTGCCTGGCTCCCTATCCCCAAAGTGGACAGACTTTAAGATTTTCTTCCTAACCTCTGTGGTCTCTAGCGATCCTACTTGCCAGCCCACCCCCTCCGCTCCACCATTCCTCCTGTGTGTCCCCTTGCCTGCTCTGCCCCACCATCGGCAGGGGAGCTTTCAGACATGGCCCTCTGCTCCGTGGAACTCTCTTCTGAAATCTGTTCACCTTGCTCCGTCTTGCTTTGCTTTCAAAAACAACTTTAAAAACTTACCTCTTTTATTGTACCCCCATCCCCCCATATTCCTCCAACACTTCCCCCTAGGCTCAAGCTCCCATTCAAACTTTGTGAATGTTGTCCAATAATAAATGTGCAGTTTAAGTTCAAGTTGACTCTTTGGTTGTTCTAGACCCCTGTGATGAATAATCATTTTAAAATACGTTAAACTGAGGGTTTTGCCCAATGATGGGTTCGCTTGATAAAGGCACCATCCAGGGTACAAAGCTGGGTGCAAGCAGGTTCCTGGTCTGCACTCAATTAGCAAATTTCAGCAGGAGATGCTAGGAGTCCTGTAGCTCAGTGGTTAGAGCACTCACCTCGCAAGTGAGAGACCTGTGTTCGATTCCCTGCAGGGCTCAGGGTTGGCAAGTTTCCTTACTCCACACGCCTCCGTTTACCTCGCAGTAAGTAGGAACCGGTTGTTGGTCGATTGACGGATCGCTTTTCCGGAGGTAACAATTCCTTCAAAAACAAATAATAATAAATTGGTCACTTCAATTCACTACTTAATTCACGCATTAAGATGTCAGGCTCCACCATTGTTAAGTGCTGTTGAGACATTACCCTGCGTGGAGGGCGCTATATACTTGGAAGTGGTTGTTGTCTCGAAGACGTGATAGGACGCTGTATCAAATATAAGGATTATTATTATTAACTTGATCTTGTGGCTCTGAACTGGAGGTGAAAACTCAACCAGGATTCTGCCTCCAGTGGCCAAATAATCCCTGAAAACCAGACATGTCTGATGAGGACAGGATAGAGCTTGGCCACTGTGCACCTTAACAATTATGCACCACATCTAGCTTTATTCAAACACTTTCTTATGTTTGGAGAGTGCACTCGGGGGATTAAGGAGCAGCAAAAAGGAGTGGGAACAAAAGACGGAACCGCTTGTGGAAAACGTCTAATGAGCAGTTACCGGTCTTTGCGACAATATAAATGAACCGGGCAGACTCGAACCTTTCCTAGGAGACCATCTGTCTAGAAAGACAAAGTGACTGCCAGTCCCCAGGGTGGTCATTACAGACCGGTTTCACTGTATATTGATTATTAAATATGTTCCTGTCCAAGGATGGGAGGCGCTGGGGCTGAGACGACCAGAGCTTGTTGTGGTCGTTTCTGCTTAGCGGTTTGAATGGGTTGACGTTGTAGCTGCTTCAGTAGGTTTGTTTCATTTCCCCGAAGAATGGATGAAACACCTTCTTTAATAAAAGCTTCACCCCTCCCACCCCCAGCAATCAAATTGCTTGAATTTGCAATACGATTCCTTGTAAGAATGTCCAGAATCAGATCATTATCCGCTCTCCCCCCACACCCTCCCTTTCCCCTAAAGGCAACCTCTATCTGTAAGCAAATCTGCAAAATGATACTTTTCGTTTCTGTATCATCTATTTATGGCCCATTGGCACACACACCACAAAGTCTAAAAATAATTTTCTGAGACGAGAGGCAATCAGTGCACCAAGGCAGCAGGAATGTTTTGGGCTCCCTTTACAATTACAGTGCAGAAATATGCGAATGCGGCATAAACAGAACCAGCTTTTATGGTAATCGGTGTCATATCATACAAAGCGTAGAGCCTGCCCAACATTGCATTTTTTTGCCGTTGCTAGCACAGGAATGAGAGGCGAGTTCTCCCCTGCAGTACTAGCCCCACTTCAGCCCATTATATTGCTGTGTACTACACACCGCTCACATTGCACAGTTTGTCAGTACTCAAGTGCTAAAGAATGTAACATCGGCAGGAAAGCGCATTTACTGTGATGAACACTTCAGGATATAATTGCTGCTGGTCACTGTTTACAATGCACCACTCTTTTTGGGTTTGGCTGCTTGCAGTGGCTTGCTGTGCTTTTAGACCTCAGTGAATGACCGAGTGGAGCAGACTCCATGTACACTAATTGCTGATTGACATCGCAAAGCTTGCTCGGTCCAGGAAACAGCTGTCTCCAGAGCTGCCTTTTCAAGTTGGGTGGGAGGGGTGAGGGGAGTGCTTTATATTCCAAGCAGACAAAAATATAAGGCTGAAATGATATCATACAATCTCCATTACATAATTGAAAGATGCTGTGACGTTCAAGCTTTTATGACTTAGTGTCACTGAGAGCAATTGTTTGCTATCGTGACGCTTACATGGTGTGATGAATGCATTTTTATGTGACTTATTGCCTCTGAAACTCTGTGAGCCTTGCCGATGGTGTTAGTGAGCTATTCCCGGGCTCAATTCCCGAACTCAATTCTACCCTTACATGAGGTGTCAACAACTATTTGTCCAGGCACGGAATGGGTAGCTGAATGCTAAGGTGGTCTGCGTCTAGTTTGATCCTGTGTCTGAGCTGATCTGGACTAGGTAACAGCAGGACACCACAATGACAACAACAAGGTCAGCAAGCACAATCCCAAACTCAATAACCTTCATCAATGTGACTATCCAAACGATATCTGCCTTGAATTAATTTGAAGGTTGTAATCACTACTGTTGTTAACTATTCTCATTGGTTTATGGAATAAAAAATCCCTGTACCTTTTTAAAGTCGGCTGCCTGGTATTACAATGGAGTGCGCATTGTGTTAATACATTACATTTTACAAAGCCTTTTCTGTTAATGTGCTTACAGTGCAGCTCCTTTGCAGTCCAAGCGATCTGCTATTGGAGTGTAGGAGGAACAAGTTTGATGCTATAGAGCACACTCGATTTGAGCTTTTGTGCAGCCAGTATATCACTGGCACATTGAACAAAGAGCCTGTTTTTTATTATCCAGTGCCTACGGGGTTATGTTTAGAAACATGAGAATGCTGGATTTTAAAAAGAGGGATGAGAATAATGAATACAACATATGGAATTCCTTTTCTGTGACAAGTATTGTTTGATTTAAACTGCAAGATCCCCTTTGTATTTTTTACGTGTTCAAAGAGATTGGCTTATGTTTAACTTTCTAACTTCCATATCAAAAATGCAACAGGTGGAATGGTTTCACTTTACAGGTAGATATTGATGTAGCCTTGAAAAGCAGCAGTGATCAATTCAAAATGCTCATCAAATATTTCAACTTGAGCTCCGTGAATAATTGTCTTTTTTAGTTTTGAATAAGATGGTTTGAAGGACAGTGCTTTAATTGGATCCTGACTTTTCTTTGCCCAGTAATATATGAGATTGTTATTTTTAAATGCATAGATCAAGAGGAGCCAGTCTGTAACCTTTTAACTCCTTTATAAGAAATGCAAGCATTACAAAACTCCCGTTGATCACATTACCTGAGCTCATTCTTTTTTTTTCCCCTCATTGCAGGCTTCCGAAAAATTAGCTTGGATGATCTGCGCAAAGCCTACATCGTGAAAGATGTACAGCAGTATATCCTGTATCGTCTAGACCAGGAGGAGGCACTGAGGCAGCACCTGACGAAGGAAACGGCCGAGATGCTGAACCAGCTTCACATCAAAAGCAGCGGCTGCTTCCTGTATCTGGAGCGGGTGCTGGACGGGGTGGTGGAGAGTTTCATCATGCTGCGCGAGATTCGGGACATTCCCGGGACGCTGAACGGGCTCTACCTCTGGCTGTGCCAGAGGCTTTTCGTGCGAAAACAGTTTGCAAAGGTCCAGCCTATTTTGAACGTGATCCTGGCTGCTTGCAGGCCGTTGACTATCTTGGAGCTGTACCACGCAGTCTGGACGAAAAACATGAGCTTGACCATGGAGGAATTTCAAAGGAAATTGGACATCTTGTCCAAGGTTCTCAGAGATGGCCTGGGGAACACTAAAATTCTTTTCCACTACAGCTTTGCGGAGTGGTTGCTCGACGTGAAGCACTGCACCCAGAAGTACTTGTGCAACGCGGCGGAGGGGCACAGGATGCTGGCCATGAGCTACACGTGCCGGGCCAAAGAGCTCTCACCGTTGGAGGTTCAGGAATTTGCGCTGCACCTGCTCAATTCTAACCTGCAGCTGGAACCCCATCACCTGGCCCTGTGGATGGTCTGGAACAACACTCCCGTGAAGGGGGCTTTGTCTACCATGATCCCGAAAGAGCAGGAGATACTGCAGCTGCTCGTCAAAGCGGGAGCTCACGTCAACAGCGAGGACGACCGCACGTCTTGCATCGTCCGGCAGGCGCTGGAAAGGGAGGACTCCATTCGAACCCTGCTGGACAACGGCGCCTCTGTCAACCAGAGCGACTCCAATGGACGAACGCTCTTGGCGAGCGCGGCCTACAGCGGCAATTTGGACGTCGTGAACTTGCTGATATCCAGGGACGCTGACCTGGAGATTGAAGACAGTCACGGGCAGACAGCACTTACGCTTGCCTCCAGGCAGGGACACACCAAGGTCGTGAACTGCCTGATTGGACACGGCGCCAACATCAACCACAACGACCAGGACGGCTGGACGGCCCTGAGGTCGGCCGCTTGGGGGGGCCACACGGAGGTGGTGTCCGCCCTTCTCTACGCGGGGGCCAAGGTGGATTGCGCGGACGCGGACAGCCGCACCGCGCTGCGGGCCGCGGCCTGGGGGGGCCACGAGGACATCGTGCTGAACCTGCTCCAGCATGGAGCGGAGGTGAACAAGGCGGATAACGAAGGGAGGACCGCGCTCATTGCCGCGGCCTACATGGGCCACAGGGAGATCGTGGAGCACCTGGTGGACCACGGGGCGGAGATCAACCACGAGGACGTGGACGGCAGGACGGCGCTGTCGGTGGCCGCGCTCTGCGTGCCCGCCAGCAAGGGCCATGCCTCGGTGGTCAGCTTGCTGATCGACCGGGGGGCCGAGGTGGATCACTGCGACAAGGACGGGATGACCCCGCTCCTGGTGGCCGCCTACGAGGGCCACGTGGACGTCGTTGACCTGCTCCTGGAAGGAGGGGCGGACGTGGACCACACGGACAACAATGGCCGCACCCCGCTCCTGGCGGCCGCCTCCATGGGCCATGCGTCGGTGGTGAATACGCTGCTGTTCTGGGGGGCGGCCGTGGACACCATCGACAGCGAGGGCAGAACCGTGCTGAGCATAGCCTCCGCCCAGGGCAACGTGGAAGTGGTGCGCACTCTGCTGGACAGAGGCCTGGACGAGAACCACAGGGACGACGCCGGCTGGACGCCGCTGCACATGGCGGCCTTCGAGGGCCACCGGCTGGTGTGCGAGGCGCTGATCGAGCAGGGGGCCCGGACCAACGAGGTGGACAACGACGGCAGGATCCCCCTGATCCTGGCCGCCCAGGAGGGCCACTACGACTGCGTGCAGGTCGTGCTGGAGAACAAGTCCAACGTGGACCAGCGCGGCTACGACGGGAGGAACGCGCTGCGGGCGGCCTCGCTGGAGAGCCACCGCGACGTCGTGGAGCTGCTCCTGAGCCACGGGGCTGACGTCGACTGCAAGGACGCGGACGGCCGGCCCACGCTGTACATCCTGGCCCTGGAGAACCAGCTGGCCATGGCCGAGTACCTGCTGGAGAACGGGGCCGACGTGGAGAGCACCGACGCCGAGGGCCGGACGGCCCTGCATGTGTCCTGCTGGCAGGGCCACCTGGAGATGGCGCGGCTGCTGCTGAGCGACCGGGCTGACGTGAACGCCGCGGACAACGAGAGACGGTCAGCCCTGCAGAGCTCGGCTTGGCAGGGCCACGCCCGGGTGGTGCAGCTGCTGATCGACCACGCAGCCCTGGTGGATCACACGTGCAACCAAGGGGCCACGGCCCTGTGCATCGCCGCCCAAGAGGGCCACGCCGTGGTGGTGCAGACGCTCCTGGAGCACGGGGCTGACCCCAACCACGCGGACCAGTTCGGCCGCACCGCCATGCGGGTGGCGGCCAAGGGCGGCCACACCCAGATCATCAAGCTGCTGGAGAAGTACGGGGCCAGCAGCCTGAACGGGTGCAGCCCCTCCCCGGTTCACACCATGGAGCAGACCGGCCCTCAGTCCGTCGCCACGAAGACGCGCTCGCTCACCATCAAGTCCAACAGCTCAGGCAGCACGGGCGGCGGCGGCGGGGGGGACCTGCAGGCCGCCATGCGCGGGCTGACCAACGGCCCGCAGCACCCCTTCAGCTCGCCTTCCGAATCCCCGGACTCCACGGTCGACCGGCAGAAGTCCTCGCTGTCCAACAACTCGCTCAAGAGCTCCAAGAACTCTTCCCTCCGCACGACCTCGTCCACCGCCACGGCGCAAACCGTGCCGATGGACAGTTTCCACGGCATGTCCTTCACGGAGCAGATACAGCAGCACTCGCTGCCTCGCAGCCGGAGCAGGCAGTCCATCGTGTCGCCCTCGTCGACCACCCGTTCGATAGGACAGTACCCGGGCTCCCCCGGCAGTGAGTGTGAATGGGGGGTGGGGAAGCCCAATGCCAGGTCCGGTAAAGGTAGCAAAGGGGGGGTACGCAATGAGCCCAGCGAGGGCTCCAACAAAGCCGGCTCCTCTGGCAAGAGGACATCTCAGGGCAAACCGGGCAGTTCCTCTCAGCCCAAGGTTCCCGAATACGAAATGACGCAGCTGGACAAGCGCACGGCCGCCACTAAAGCCTCGCCAAATCAGCCCGCCTCGCTGAAACAAGCGTCCACCGAGTCGCAGTGTAAAATACTGATACCACACAGCCCGCAGGAAACCGTGAGGTCCCAGCAGCAATTCCTCATCCAGCAGCACGTGGAGCAAAAGAAAAGGAACGGCATCATGACCAACCCTAACTACCTGCAGGGGAATCCGGTGTACCTGGGCAGGGTAGCTGTTCCAAGGAGCGGAACAGAGCGGGGACACAACGAATGTTTGGAAGGTTATCCACTCACGGAAACAGAACTGAGCCTCAATCAAGCCCTCAAACTGCAAATTGAGGGGACAGACCCCAGCTATAACTGTAAGAAGGAGACACCATTGTAGTAGGTACGGTGACCCTTGTTTGTGCTTATTTCTGATGCGTGTTAATCCCAGTCGTGTGCAAGTTTTCTCCATGTTCACGTATATAAGACACTTCCCCTGGTTTACTTACAGTGTTGCAAGTAGGACATCCCCCCCCCCCGGTTTATCTACAGTCCTGTGCACAGGACTTTTCCCCATGTGTAAATCCAAACCATAACCTTTCACCTGGTTTTTGTGCAGCCTGAAATGGAATCTAGAATGCTTAAAACCGCCTTTGAGGTTTGAGGCGCGTGCACACCCGCCAATAACTGGAGGAAGGAAGATTTGCAAAAGTCTCTATCCCATCTATATCACTTTGAGATTGTCTTATTCCAGTTCCTGTGGAAGGTGTGCCTACCCTGATGATAATAATGTAACGATAATAATTTGATGTAGCGCCTTATCTCGTCTTCGAGACGTCTCAAAGCGCTTCACGGAAAATACTGTAAAGTGAATTGACTGTATATATTTTGTGGTCGAAACCCGCCAGCCAATTGCGCACAGCAGCGTCCCACAAACAGTCGTGGATTGAGTGACCAATTTGGATCAAATTGGTCACTCAATCCACGACTGTTTGTGGGACGCTGCTGTGCGCTATTGGCTGCCACGTTTCGCCCAAAATATATACAGTCAATTCACTTTACAGTATAGCCTGCAAAGCACTTTGAGACATTTCGAAGACGTGATAAGGCGCCGTACCAAATGCAAGGATTATTATTATTAATACACAGTAAAATATAAGGTCCACCCAGCTATCGCTGGCTGTCATGTGCTTCTTATGCCTGGTACAGTAATGTTGTGGGTCTGACATGAACTGCTCTTCATGGAAGCTCCCAGCAAATTTTGCAAGGACTACAGAGAAGAAACCAGTTTGCAGACCAAGACCCCAAAGGGCATGGGATTCCACTTCACGAACAGCCCAAGGTCTTTGTTTCAGAGGGTCCAATATCTGTTTTGTTTATTATAACAATAATGATAACAACAACAATCTTTGCTTTTGATATAGAGCCTTATTAAATCGTTGCGATGTCACGAAACACTTCATAGGATTTTGTTCTAAATTGTAATGACTGATTATTTGTAAACAAACGGGACAGACAATTTATGCACAGCAAACTCCTACAAACAAATGAAGTGAAACAAATACAATACAAATTTACTTTTGTATAGCACGTCGGCGAGGACGTCCCAAGGCACTGAATGAACAACATGAATTACCCTGCAATGTACACAGGGAATAAGGGGTCTCATCGGGGAAAACTGTTGCCGTACTCTGTTGTATCATCAACCGAAGAGAGATCAAATCGAGATACATTTTTGCATAAATTTACAGATTTCGTACAGTTTTTTGTAACCCAACACTAACATGAATAATCCTTGCATTTGATATAGCATTTTTCAAGTATTCTAGACGTCTCAAAGTGCATTACAGAATATACTGTAAAGTGAATTGACTGTACATTTGTGGGTGAAACGCGGCAATCAATTGCGCACAGCAGCGTCCCACAAACAGTCGTGGATTGAAGTGACCAATGGATTATTTTTTTTCTCGAGGGATTATTATCAGGTGTGTGGAGTAAGGAAACTTGTCCAAGGTTTCGCCCTGACCTGCCGGGAATCAAACCCAGGTCTCTCGCTTGCGAGGCGAGTGCTCTAACCACTGAGCTACAGGACTCCACATACAGCAGTTACACATCCCAGTACTGCAGCAGTTTTAAACCTTGCTTATTCTTTTGTTTAAAAGAGAAGACCTGGAGCATTTGAGGAGGTCTTATGTACGGAAAAGAATTTCTGCTGGTGAGGCGGTGGGTGGTGGGGGGAGGGAAGCTCTGGCCGATGAGTTGTTGTTCAACAAATAAAAGAACTGAGGTCAGCACCGGCGAGAAAGGCACTGATGTAGCATAGCGATGCTGCACAAGCAATCTGTGTTTCCGGAGGAATGCTGGTACTCAACGGGTCGTTTGCTGACTTCAAACCGTTTTCCGGTCTTACGATTTCCAAACTTCAGAATAAATAGTCGCCCAACTAGAAAACTGATGCGTAGGTGCGATTGGCAGGTAAGGAGAAACTATAATATTGACATCATTTCGCCCACAAAATATACAGTCGATTCACTTTACAGTATATTCTGTGAAGCGCTTTGAGACATCTCGAAGGCGTGATAAGGCCCGATATCAAATGCAAGGATTATTATTATATTTGCGTTTAATATGTTAGAGCAGCAATTCTTCTACAGTTCCCTTTTTTTGGGTGTCACAGGCTGGAAACGTTGCTGATGCAGAGTGCTCTGAATTCAGGAATAATTTTGCCCTTTCCTTGTTATTGAAATGTTTATTTTTAAAAAGAGAACCTTCAATGGAAAGAAGGTCTGTGAATAAGATACACTTTCCATTTTCTGAAGACTACAATGAAGGAATTAACAGTCAGCGCTTTGTTTCACCTCTTGCCAATTTTCTCAACACCTCCTCTACCAAAAGCACTTTAAATCTTTTTCCTTTTTACACTGATGTGCTACGGGTACCAGATTAGTCTATGAGATGTGACACTAACTTATCAAATGGCAACGATCATCATAGATAGCACAATGCTGCCCTCACTTGTGGGAGGAATTCCCACCAGACATTTGTAGACGTAATTCCTGAATTCGGACAGTAAAATAACACAGTCTGTGCTAAAATCTCAAGTTCGGTGGGTCTTTTGTTTCGCCTAAACATTGCCACGTTATTAGCATAATCAGCCCTCATTATCCGGTACGGTAGAGAGAAGTATTAGTTTACTCGGGGAGTTCTGGAATTTAACATAGTTTTAAGACCCGCTGGTGATTTACAGCTGTTATATGTTGGTAGAAGACACACCAGGCTTATGAAAAGGATCAACATGGTGTATTGGACCATGGGTACAGAGGGGACCATGTTCCTTTAAATTAACATTAGTTGACATCAGTTATAATAATATATAATAATAATAACTTGCATTTGATATAGATCCTTATCACGTCTTCGAGACGTTCCAAAGCGCTTCACAAATATACTGTAAAGTGAATTGACTGTATATTTTGTGGGCGAAACACAGCAAAAGTTGTGTTAGACAAAAGTCCGTTCACAGATGTTACACCACCTCTGATGAGATCTTCCTTTGGCCAGACATCTTTCTGCTGACACTTTCTTAACCAGCCTTCAGAAGGGATAGGTTTGGAGGAGTAACGTCTAACAGCCCTGTTGATACTATTGATGACGTTTCTGAACTCAACAAATTGTAGTTTATTCAACTGTAGGACACGAGTTCAGTTAAGTTCCGTTTTACGAAAATTTAACAATCTCGGTGGATATTTGCTCTCGCTTCAACCTCAAAGCTTCCGGTAGAGGCCATTTCTTAACGAAAGCTGCTGAGATCAGACCAGCTTGTCTGCTTCCAGGGCAGAGCCAGCTCCTCTGTTTTGACACAAAAGCAGCTCTTCGTAGAGCCTCAGCAACAGACCTCAACAAAGCAAATTTCTGAATATGCTGATCTTACTGTAAGATCTTTTAGAAAGGATGTGTGGAGTTTTTCTTCCGTCAAAATGTGTGGAGTTACTTCGCATACTTAATCCGGAGCAAACTCCGTGCATCCGTCTCACCAGTTCTGGCCCAGGCTCCACTGGCTCCTCGTGACCAAACAGATCGACTTCAAGATCCTCTCACACTCGTGTTCAAATCCCTTCACTCCCCGGCACCTTCCTCCCTCTCCGACCTTCTCACTCCCCAATCCACCACCCAGTGCCTCCGCTCGACCTGCACTGGCCTCCTGCTCAACCCTCGCACCCGCTGGACCACCATCAGAGGTCGCACTTTCAGCCACTACGGCCTGAAACTCTGGAACACTCTCCCTCAATCCCTCTGCCTTGTCCCCTCTCTCCCCTCTTTCAAGTCCCGCCTGAAAACCTTCTTTATCCACTTTGCTTACGGTCACCTTCTCAACACCATAAATAATTATTATTATTATGATGTTGTAAACATTGCAAACCCAGCGTCAAATTTGCTTTCAGGTTGTGGGGAAGACAGTGGTAGAATTAAAAGAAACGTATTGCAGTGCATTCCAGGTGGATGCATCGTAGGTAACTACTGTGACTGGCAATGTTCTGCTGATAGCTTTTTGTTTGATAGTCTGTCGCTTCTCATAAATCAAAAGGAGATCTAAAGCCGCTGTTAATTGGAAGTGCTGTGATGGAGAGAGTGCACGAAAGGAAATGATTGGGACCATTTTTCTCATGCAATTGTTAAATTCAGTGGACCCAAACATTTCTCCGAATGATACTGTTCAAATGGCTATTCCAAATCTTCGGGTTTTGTTTACCAAAGACAGCACCCGATTGATTATAAAAACAGAAGTCGCTGGAAACATTCAACAGGTCAGGCAGCATCTATGGAGAAAGGAAAGTGAGTCAACGTTTCGGGTCCACGACCCTTCGTCAGAGTCGGGACATGTTGGGAGGGAGAGGCTTTTACGGACGAACAGAGGTGGGAAGGCAGGGCAAGGAAAACAAAGGAGAAAATGGGGTAGAGGACAGGGGATGATGGGTTACTGCTTCCCCCGATGCCCTCCACCCTCCCCGACCCCCAGCTCGGGTCCGTAACTCTTAGGACGTCCAGCACCTTAGGACGTCCTCCCATCGTGAAAGACGCTTTACAAATGTAATTTGTTGTTGTTGTTGTTAAAGATGGGATGATGGTAAAAGCCTCTCCCTCCCAACACGCCCCAGTTCTGCCGAAGGGCCATGGACTCGAAACGTTGACTCACTTTCCTTTCTCCCTAGAGGATGCCTGACCTGCTGAGTGTTCCCAGCGACTTCTGTTTTTGTTTCAGATTTCCAGCATCTGCAGTAATTTTGAGTTTTGACCCGATTGATTATTATCATTTGAGTTGTACTGGACAGAGGTGAAAAGACATTTGGGTGAACTGTTGCTTGAAATGCAATTTTGGTTCATGACTTGCAAAGTCTTTAATTTTTTCAAGAAGATCATTGGGTTTGAATCTTATGCATGAGAAACCAAAGTGTCAGAATTACAACCTATTCAGGGGAAACCAATCTGATTTGTTTAAGTGGTGAGAACACTGAGTCTGTGTGCTTCACAAAGAACTGCATCTGTCGTATGGTGAGCTGTTGCAGTTGGAGCCAGTAGTCCTTTGGCACTAATTTTATTCAAATGCAGAAATGTCACAGTCGCCTATAATAACCTGCGGGTTCTACCTCTCCATTTCCCCTCACTTTCCCCTTACTGTTGGCAAAAGGAAAGTAATGCCCAGTGTTGCGCTGGAACGTTCATAACTTGGGGGTGACTTGAAACCTGCTTTGTGCTGAGCTGGCTGTTATGAAATAGCTTTTTTTTACTCTGTTAACCATCATTCATTGACTTCCGCCACACAGGCGAGGATGTTGGTCGGGTGAGAGTGGGCTTGGACTCTGCCGTGGTGGCTCACACCTTCAGTCGAGCAACCTGCTGACATTCAACACGTGGAGTCCTGTAGCTCAGTGGTTAGAGCATTCGCCTCGCAAGTGAGAGACCTGGGTTCGATTCCCAGCAGGGCTAAGGGTTGGGCAAGTTTCCTTACTCCTCACGCCTCTGTTTACCTCGCATTATGTAGGAACCCAGTTGTTAGTCAATTGGCGGATCGCTTTCCTGGGGGTAATAATTCTTTCAAAAAAATAATTGGTCACTTGAATCCACGACTGTTTGTGGGACGCTGCTGTGCACAATTGGCTGCCGCGTTTCACCCACAAAATATACAGTCAATTCACTTTACAGTGTATCCTGTGAAGCGCTTTGAGACGTCTCAAGACATGATAAGGCGCTGTATCTATTGCAAGGATTATTACTATTATAACACAGGAAAAATGTGTGCTTGAGCGAGGTACCAATGGGTCATCTGGCTCCTGTGGTGCCTTCTGTGACGGGCGGTGTGGATAAAGCTGTCTTAACGTGCATGAAATTCGAGATGTTTTTCTTTTTTCCTTCAGAGCAATGTTAAGGACCTTCGTTGAAGAAGTGCAGAATTTCATTCCCATCGTTCTTTGCTGCCAGTTCTCAGAAGGTACTGAATCCAAGGGACAGCCTCAATGGAACATGAGCCTGACTGATGGACCCCAGCCTAGACGGTGCCTCCACTCCCTGAAAATGACGGAGGGAAAGAGACTTTAACGGCTGCACACAGGTCGCATACGAAAAAAAACAGTGCCTATGTCTAAAGGCTGCCTTTCAAGTGTAACCCTCTTTTGCTTTATATATTTGTTTTGTGTACTTTGTATTTAATACACATTGTATGCACTTTTTCATAAAGACAAAACAGTATATTACAGCTCAACTGCAGTCGTTGTTGAAATAACGCAATGGGAGAGAAATCGTGTGTGTGCGCAGAATGTGAATCAGAACGCCTTAAGCTCAAGGCTCGGTCCAGATCAGCGGGAAGAATGAACTTAGCATTGTCGCAGGCAAGGAGTTACGGATGGCCTGGAGCTGAAACTGTGATCTCAAGATTGTGGCAAAATATTACTGCGGCTTTCATTAAAAGTTTTCAAAAATCCACATGTATTTGCAGAATGGGTAACGCAGTGGGTGGAGCTTTTTTCCTCCCTGCTTCGGAATAATTTTGGTGAGTTTCCAGACTGCTTTCTCTCTTTCATCTCTCCTCCACCCACTTTCCCCAGACCATATTAAAACGAAAATATTCATTTGGTTCTGAGACTTTTTCTTTCTTTTTCAGGGGAGCATTTATTCTGCCTTTTATTCGTAAAAGATCACGCACACAAAAATGCGTTTCAAAAAAAAAAACAAAAGAAACATTAAAATCGAATGTTTTTTTCCCTGCAGGGCGAGAATCGCTCGTCTTGTACTGGGGACAATTCGAGACCCACAATTTGGTGGCGTACAAGAATATGCAGCGCAGTTTTGTTTGTGTCCTTTTCTTCCATGGTGCAGGAGGGAGAGAGACCACCTGGCTGTGTAACCTCTGTGTTTGCTGTACGTTTGTGATTCTTTTATTTGTGCGTTTTTGAGAAAACTGTTGTATCATGTGTAACTTGTTGGAAGGTCTAGATGGCAGGACTGTGATGTAGTGCATGTTCATACGTAGAGAATGAGCTGATTGAAGTGCCAGATCCATTCATTGTCCCGTGTGTGAGTGTGTTAGGCTTATATCCTCTTCTTATGGGAGCAGTTGGAGAAGCATATACCATCGACTACAGTATTTTGTCCCTGTGGGACTCTTTTGTCTGTGACTGACAGATTAAGATAAAAGATCACAGTTTCTGATTTAAGAGTGTTGACTTTGCCTCTGCAGGCTTGATCATGTGGCAGTACGCCCCAGAATTCAAAAGCGAGCCCCAGGTTATAGCACAGCAGTAATAAACACGCAGAGCTCCATCATGGTCATGGTTTGTGCTTTTATGATGTGAGCAGGGATATGATTGAAGTTTTACATCTCTTTCCTCCCCCATACCCCTCTCCTCACCCCCTTCTCTACGAACTCTTGTTTAGGATCTTTTACCGAGACCTTTTCCCTTTTGGATTTTCGAACTGATCAGACAACAGTTTCGCAAGAGGCTGACATTTCCGAGGGCGGGTTCCTGCTTGAAGTGTTGTGGGAGGCAATATTTTGGTTTAAACACATGCTAGAAATGTCATTTGTTTAACATCCCTGCAGTGTAAATATTGTAAAGAGAAGACTCTCAGACCTGTGTAAGGAGCGAGTATCAGTTTCAGAGGCTACATTTCAAATCCCCCCCAGGAAGGGGAGGGGGGTGGTGAGAGAGAGATTTGGTAGTGCCGAGCAAACGGGGGAACAAAAAACACACCTCTGTTCGTGACTTGGGCCTGTTGGTTGGGGCTTGTCTGTGAATATCTGGTTTGCCTTGTTATGATTATCCCCCCACCCCCCCCCCAAAAAAAACACCAACTCTTACTTTTTAAACTGAAAATACCCAAAGTAAATCATTCGTTCAGTTGAAAGAAGAGCAAGCAAGGAAGATTGTGGGAGGTGGGCTTTTCTTCCGAGTGCAACCTCCTACCTTTATCTCCAAGCAGTATTTGAATTCCATGTGTTTCTGTTCTCCATCAGTTTATTTTTTTGCTCTGCAAATCTATTTTGTTTATTCAAATAGTCACTTATCTGCATTTCAGTTAGTTAGACTTACACTTTCAAATCATTTTGTTTCTATATTTGGTTGTAAATAGCGTTAATGTACATTGAACTTTGCATTGTAAGATTTTATTTTATTTCTTGTATTATATTGAGCAAAAATTCCTTATGTATATTAAAGTGCTTAATAAATATATTTGCTTTTCAGCAGATTGACTTTAATTGAACAAGTATTGGATCATGGCTTGAATGGCATGTGCAAATCGCTGTCAGACCAGAATGGGACTGTATTTTGGTGCATTAATACAAGTAGTCCATATCCACCTCTCCGCTCAGCAAGTTCCAGCCTGCTCCATCTCCCCAGCCCACCCCACCATCGGAGGTCAGGGCTTCAGCCTCTCTGTCCCCACCCTTTGGACCTCTATCCCACAGTCCCTTCATCTCGACCCCTCCCTTGCCTCCTTCAAGACACATCTCAAGACCCCTTCGGTCACCCTCCTACCTCCATCAGCACCCAGCTATATTGGCTTCCCATCCTCCAGTGGATCGAGTTCAAGATCCCCGTCCTAACCTTTAAATCACTCCACAGCCCCACTTCACCTTACCTCTGTGACCTCCTTAACTATACTGACTCACTTCGCTCTGAGGGCATTGGCCTGCTTCGTGTCCCCCACCCTGCTGTGGGTCTCTCAGCCGGTTTGCCTCCACTCTCTGGAACTCAATCCTGGAGTTGGTTTGACTCGGTCCCTCCCTCCCTCAGTTTTTTCAACATCCGTCTCAAGACGTACCTCTTTGACCGCGGCTTCGGTTATCTTACCCCTCCCCAACCCCTTTGGCTCCCACACTCAACGGAGGTGCCAAGTCAAGAGTATTAAGCCTAGAAATATAAAGTTGGATACAGTCACAGTCTGATTACGACTCTCCATCAGCAACCTTTTCTGATATATCTGCCAGGTCATCTGCTTTATCCACTGTTCCCTACTCGAAAGTGGACTAAGTGAGGACAGTAGCAGGATTGGGTGTGATTATCCCCAGCCACCGTCAAATATACTGGCAATGTTCACTGTCTAGATTCACAGTTGGAAGAATGGTCATTGGATAAGACAGTACAAGCCAACCGGTGGCTATATATTTTTTAAAAAGTATATTATGAGCATTTTAACAACAAGTATTTTAAAAAGCAGTATCATGCATTAAATAATAAGGTGCTTTTTTCAGCCACTGCCCAGGTCAGTGTCTCGCTGCCTCGACCCTCTCCCCCACTCAACCCCCAACCTTCAATACCCACCTCATTACCTACTTTTTTGACTGCACTTTTAGTCCCTCACCTTCTTTCCACACCGCCCCACTGCCCCCCCACCTACCACCGCCCCTCCCCCGGCTTGGGCTCTCAATCATCTTCTGTGAAGTGCATAAAAGTTAATCGTTAATTATCTCAGCAATAAATTATTTCAAAGTTAAATTCTCCCCATCTGCTGTTCCGGTGGACTAAAGATCCTATGGCGCTATTTCAAAAGAGAAGGCCAACAAGCCCCCAAATCCGTGGCTTAATGCTGTGCTCAAATGTCTGCTGCGTTTTCCCACAGAACACGTCACACCACTTTACGGCATGTCATGGCACGTGACACGCTTTGGCATGTTTTCCCGACGTGAAAGGGGTCAATAAGTGAGTCTGATTTGCTTCAGGTCAAACTGCCTCCTAAGGTTGAATCAAACGTGTTTGAAAGAAGTCACTGATCTTGGCAACAAAATGACCGAATTCTGGCACTGATAGGAAATAAATGCAGGGTGGTGTCTGGTTAACGGGCGTAGTTTTATGACTCAGAATGAGTGCATTATACTTGCCAAACAAAACCAGTAGCTCAGCGTTTTTGGAGTTCATTATTTAGAAGTCTGACTTTCACTTTCCTTCAAAGACAGCTGTGCTGAGCCAAACAGAACAGTCTGTGAATTCCCTTCCTTACACTGTTTGCTGTTTTAAGGCAATTGCATTTTCTTTGGAAATCATCCTACTGTTTACTCGAGATTTGGTTTGAAGTCCTGGGGCAGTGGCGGGGGGGGGGGGGACTGCATTTTACTTGAAAAAAAATCATGTCGCTATTCTATTCCTTTCCTGCCAGGGCAAATGGTGTTGGCGAGTCATCTTTGACTTCTCCAAAAACGTTTTTCAGTATATTTCAACTGAATAACGTGGGTTGTTTTAATACAAAACAACTGGGTTCTCCCCCATCCCACCCCACCCCCCCCACCACCACCGCCTCCGTGATATTCTGACATGATAATAATATAACATGATTCAATATATAACAATAATAATAATCTTTGCATAAGAACATAAGAATTAGGAGCAGGAGTAGGCCATTCAGCCCCTCCAGCCTGACCCGCCATTCAATAAGATCATGGCTGATCTATTCTAACTCCACCTACCCGCCTTATCCCCATATCCCTTAATCCCTTTATCCACAAGAAATCTATCAATCTCAGTCATGAACATAGCGCCTTATCACGTCTTCGAGACGTCTCAAAGCGCCTCAGAGAATTATACTGTAAAGTGAATTGACTGTATATTTTGTGGGCGAAAGTGCTGTACGAGTGCAATTGCCGTCTTTACATCCTTGTTCCGTACGGTTTTCTCTAGAGCTTTGTACACTTTTTTCCAAAATGTATCTTGCGATTCCTGATGCAGTTAGTGCACTCTTCATTCTTGGCCAAACCACCTCTTGTTTAGCTTCCAGGGTTATACATGTATTTGCTCTTAGCAACCACTGACCCACTTTGTTCAGCGTCCTTGCCGTCTTTTGTGCATGCATCTGTCGTCCTACGCATATGTGTCCAATTAATCAAGAGGCACGACTCCATTAAAACCAACAGAACAAGCTTCATCGGATAGAGCAGCTTTAAACGGTTTCACCCCAGACTTGCTCCACTACTCTGTATGTAAATGCATAACACTGTTCAGTCAAAATCTCATCATGTAATTTTGAAAGTAGCATAATGCAATTCTCTCCTGTGTTGTGTCCCAGTTAAACAGTCCTGGTGTTGCAGGTACAATCCCAGATGGCTGAGTGTGAATAATTTGCCTGTAATATATTCTGCGGGTAAAGCCAGATATTCACAGGGAAGCTCGAGTCAATGTCATACGGACCTCGAGAACCATTGAACAATTACAGCCCATTACTATTGACCAGGACATTACATGTTGTATACCTTTGTGTTGCTTCTTGACCGATTTCTAGACACGAAAGTATTACAATTTTTATGTTTATATTTTTATTGACAGGGCGGAAGAATATATTTT